GCCAGCATCCACTAGAGGGCAGACACACCCGTGTGTATTTGTGCAGCACATGCTAAGAGATAATAAGAACAGTGCCTGCCAGCATCCACTAGAGGGCAGACACACCCGTATATGGTGCTTGCTGAGTGGTAATAAAAACAGACACCCTGCCCTGCTGGAGTCAACTTCCAGTGCCCAGGCCAGCGGCAGCAAGTAAGAAAACCTCGGTTTCCATATCTGCATCAGCTACACAGTGCTCTCACACAGGAGGCATCAGCCAGTTTTCTCAGTTAAAGAGACAGAAACAAAATGTGTCCTCACTACTTTTTGAATGTACCATGTTATCTAATGTTTTAACTTAATTGAATGAATAAACTCCTTATGCATCTGGACACATGCACAGAAAATTCACAAACAAAAAAACACAAAATAGAATATTTTGCCAAAAGAAAATGTCTTTGATACGTAAATTTCACTTTTTTCTATCTTTTAGTGATTTTAAAGTAATGAAATTGAGAAGTCTGTGCCTGTAAAAGACTTTTTAAAGAGCATGGTATTTCTCCATTTTGAAAAAAAAGGGCAAAATATCTTCTACTATAGATAGAAGTTAATTGGCTGAGAGTAATAAACAGAAGATTAAGAAATGACTTTATCCCCTGCTATTTTGTCAAGGGCTACAGTGAATTACGCACCCTGGCTTGGGTTTGCACACTACGTGCTGAAAGCCAGCAGTCACGCAGGCCATGCTCTCCCACACTTAGAAAAAAAGCCCATGAGAAAGAGCTCCATCAAGTTCACACAGAATGACCTCCAGCAAGACCTGGAAAATGCTCAGTTTCACAAAATACCTGTGTCCAAATCCTTTCAGCGCACAGCTCTGGCATCAGGTTCCTGTGAGGACAGACCCCGAGATGGATTTCTGGTTGGAGGCTGCTGCCAGAGGAGACAATGTGACCACAGATGGCTCATGCTGCTCCCATGCTGCAGGGACCAGTGACTTGGGGGTCCTGCTCACTGTCCTGTTGGGGAGCTGCAGAGATTCACCCCAGCTGAGTGGACTCTGCTGTGTCTCCTGTCAAGAAGCTCCTCAGTTTACCTTGGTTTTTCCTTTTTAAAACTCTCTGGTGTTTTCCTCTCCAGTGGGGGCTGCATCTCACCTTAGAAGAAAATATTTTCCAGCTGGGCGATGCGGCTCACGCCTGGAATCCCAGCACTTTGGGAGGCCGAGGTGGGCGGATCATGAGGTCAGGAGATCGAGACCATCCTGGCTAACATGGTGAAACCCTGTTTCTACTAAAAAGATAAAAAAATTAGTCTGGTGTGGTGGCGGACACCTGTAGTCCCAGTTACTTGGAAAGCTGAGGCAGGATGTTGGCTCCCTACAAGCTCTATCTCCTGGGTTCATGCCATTCTCCTGCCTCAGCCTCCCAAGTAGCTGGGACTACAGGTGCCTGCCACCACGCCCAGCTAATTTTTGATATTTTTAGTAGAGACGGGGTTTCATCGTGTTAGCCAGGATGGTCTCGATTTTCTGTCCTCTTGATCCGCCCACCTTGGCTTCTCAAAGTGCTGAGATTACTTTGAGATTGTGTACCTTAGAGCTGGTGGGGGCCTAGCCTCTTGATCCACCACGCCTGGCACACGTTTGTCTTCTTTTGAGAAGTGCCTCTTCATGTCCTTGGCCCACTTTTTAATGGGGTTGTTTTTCTCTTATAAATTTGTTTAAGTTCCTTATAGATGCTGTATTAGACCTTTGTCAGATGCATAGTTTGTAAATATTTTCTCCTATTCCATAAGTTGCCTGTTTACTTTGTTGGTAGTTTCTTTTGCTGTACAGAAGCTCTTTAGTTTAATTAGATCCCACTTGTCAATTTTTGCTTTCCTTGCTATTGCTTTTGGTGTCTTTGTCACGAAATCTTTGCCTGTTCTTATGTCCAGGATGGTATTGCCTAGGTTGTCTTCCAGGGTTTTTATATTTTTGGGTCTTTAATCCATCCTGAGTTAATTTTTGTGTATGGTGTAAGAAAGGGGTCCAGCCTCAATCTTCAGCACATGGCTAGCCAGTTATCCCAGCACCATTAATTGAATAGGGAGTCTTATCCCCATTGCTTGTTTTTGTCAGAAAAGCTGTGTTTCTAAGGCTTTGCCCAACATACTTTTAACTTTTGACACATCTTTTCCCCAGTCAATAGACTGCAGGAAATGGGACAGGATTCTTGGAAATAAAGAGCTGACCTGGCCAGGCGTGTTGGCTCATGCCTGTAATCCCAGCACTTTGGGAGGCCGAGGCAGGCGGATCACAAGGTCAGGAGATTGAGACCACCCTGTGAACGGTGAAACCCTGTCTCTACTAAAAATACAAAAAATTAGCCGGGTGTGGTGGCGGACGCCTCTAGTCCCAGCTACTCGGGAGGCTGAGGCGGGAGAATGGTATGAACCCGGGAGGCGGAGCTTGCAGTGATCGGAGATTGTGCCACTGCACTCCAGCCTGGGCCACAGGCGAGACTCCATCTCAAAAAAAAAAAAAAAAAAAAAAAAGAGCTGACCCTGAGACAACACAGGTGAACACAGCTAACCTCTTGCATAAGAAGTAAACAAAATGTGTGTCTTTCATTCAATATTAAACAATGATAGACTGAGTATGTAAGCATGTTACCATCACAGGTATGGAAGTGCCTAACTATGACTTAAATTGTAGAGCCTCAGATTTTAGATCTGGAAGAGCCAAGGGTTTTAATCCATGCTGGGAGAGACTCAAGGTTACTCTGGAGAAACACGCAGTTTGGGGAGGCTGGAGACTGAGGGGTGGGCTCCCATTCCCCAGCTCCTTCAATGAGTCTGATCTGTTTTATAAATCAGTTTTTGGAAAATGATTCAAACAAGTCAACCCAATTCCCTATTATTTGGTCAAAGCCATCAGCCCTCAGGCTTCTTGCCACTGCAACTGTGGGCTCCCACTCTCCTCCTCCTCTCCTGCTAAGGTTGGGGCGGCCAAAGACCTTCTCTTGCCGGGGAGAGAGGTTAGGGAGGGACCATTTTTTGATTATTTGAGGGCGTGGTTCAGTTGTAAACAGTGTAAGTTTTAGAATTTGTGTTATTGTGATGGCGATGACCAACTGCAAAATATTTCCCATTTGCCTTGCAATAACAAGAGCATGTATTTTACGCAATTGAAGTTTTTGGATCCTACTTATTTACTTTATTAAGAATAGTGACATTTGAGCAGAGAAGAGTTCTAATTTTGGATCAGAGTCAAAAGTGAAAATGAAAGGAACTGACCCATGAAGGAATAGGTATGAGCTGTTTACTTCATTTCTGCCTGTCCTGGTTGATGTTCAGCTCTGGCCCCGCATCCCACTTACAAATGCGGTGGATGCCTCACCTAGGAAAGGCCCTCCCTACGCTGGCTCCCTCTGCTCACCCGACTGTAGTTACTTCTCTTAATCCCCCATGAACGCTGTTTTCTAAGTTGGGTGTGTTTCCTGTAATGAAAAGGTATTGTTGCACCACTTATTGAGGACTTTTTGGATGCCATGCTAAGCATTTCATAGTCACAAGCTCATTGTACAAACTACCCTTTATAACACTCCTATGAATTTATATTCCCATACGAATTGGTCTGAGGAAGTGGCATGCTGGAGAGATTAAGCAATTAAATGACAGCATACAGTTAATTACTGAGAGGATTTGGGTTTGGACTTGGATCTGTAATTCAAACACTCATGTCTATAATCACAAGTGTTGCCATATCATTTGCACTAGGATTTAGAATCTCTGCTGGCAGGCCTGGGAAGGCACATTGTAACCAATAAGAGGTAAATGCCACATTTAGTTCTGCACACAGTGCAGAACCATTGCACTGCCTCTCAGAGAATGCCAGGGGCTCCTGTGTTTGTCTCAGTGTCTCCAGCTTGAATTGCTTCACCCCGGCTCTCGGCAATGCTGCTCCTCTCTCCTGCATGGATCACCTGTTCCTGGAATTCCTTTCTCCCATTTCTTAGGTTGCCACTTTACTGTAGCTTCCTGATCTAAGGTAAAGCTTTGATGCTGTGCATATCCAAAAATGCCTGTGCACTATTCTCACACTGGGTTGACGGTTTAGTTGGGTTTAAAATATATATATTTCTCTCAGAATGTGAAGGCCAAATTTCATTTTCTTAATTATATCTAGAATTTCAGTGAAAAACTTCAGTGCTATTTTCGTTCTTGATTCTTTGCAGGTGATCTTTTTCTTTCACCTCTCTGGAAGCTTTTCAGATCTTTATCTCTGATGTTATCAAATTTCACAATAATGTGTTTAGTGTAGAAGAACTTTGAAATTCATTTTGAGGGGAACTCAATAGATCTTTTAAACCTGAAAATCATAAACTTTATTTCTGGAAAATGTTCTTGATTTTTAAGTTGAGATATAATTCACATACTACATTTTACTCATGTAAAGTGTTCAATTTAGCACTTTCTGGAAGTAGCACAGACTTCACCACTACTTAATTCTAACATATTTTCAGCACCCAAGAAAGAAACTGCATTTTCCATTTTTTCCTCCTCCAACCTCTGGCAATCATTCCTTTTTGAGGCTGAGTAATATTCCATTGTGTGGAAATACTTCATGTTATTTATTCGCTCATCAGTTGGTGGACGTTTGGGTTGTTTCTACTTTTTGGCTATTATGGATAATGCTGCTCTACAAGTTTTTGTGTGGACATATGTTTTTAATTCTCTTCAGTATGAAGACTTGAATAGAATTGATAGATCAAAGAGTAATTCTATGTCTTACTTTTTGAGGAACTGCCAGATTGTTTTCCAAAGCAGCTGTACCATTTAAATCCCATTGATTTCTTTTCTGACATTTTTATTGTTTCCGTCTGCTTTTATTTTTTTCTTTTTGTGAAATTCTATTTTAAACTCTGAAGATGAATCAGGAAAATCAAAGCAGCTTCTACAACAAATACAAGAAAATGATATACAGGAGATACAAGGGAAATGTATAAATTATATAGACTTAAAAACACATCAGCTAATCACAATGTATGAATTTTATTTGGGAATATAGACGGAACAGAATTGCCCATGTGCTTCTTGTTGTTCTGAAGGGTTATAGATATATAGGGGTTTGTTATATTCATGTTTATTTACATATATGTTTAAAATTCTCCATATAAGGGTTTTAAAAATTCCATTGGAAGCCTTATGTTTTAAAATGTACTCAGATTTTGTTTTAATCAGGGATATTAAGACCTGCAGACATGGAAGTGACTGTCTTATTCATACTCACAGATTCCTAGAAACAGGAGGCACAGGGATGCCCCAGGCAGAGGCAGGAGAGGGGAAGGCACGGGCAGGATCCTCTGCTGTGGTCTCTGTGGGACAGCAAGGGCAGGCAGGCTTAGGCTGTCCAGCGTTAATAGCTTCAGCAGGCTCTGGGGCATAGGGGCCATTTCTAGTTGCCTAGTACCTCACCCTGTGGTGATTAAGGAAGGGCGGTATTGTCTCCTACAGTATCAGAGCCAGCTAAAGTAGGTGGTTAGGAGTATGGGTTCTGAATTGGTAGTTTAATTGCCTGGCCCTGGGAAAGGCAATCTTTTCCCAGTAAACACCAGATGCTAGAGCATCAAGAAAACATAAAATAAGAAAATATAATTAATGCATTCTGTGTGTACAGATGGAGTCTTCTTTTGCTTCCCCAAAAGAAGAGCCCACAGGAGCCTGGCACTGCTGGACCTGAGGAAACCCTGAAAATGTTGGTATCTGCAGATCCTCTCCAAAAAGAGGTCGCCAGTCTCCTAAGACTGCAAGCTGACCCCAGCATTCTGGGAGCCAAGAGGGAGAAAGAGTCTGCAGATCTCCCTGCTCAGTAAACTGGCTTTCACTAAATACTGTCTTTGCATAAGCAGCATTATCCAGTGTCCTGGAGCTTAGAAAAGTTCTGTTTCAATATCTGAAGAAAATAAATTGTTTCTTTTTCCGATGTCAGGGAGGAGCATTTGACTGCCAGTGTGGACTGAGGGGTCTTGGGATCACAGTCTTCCCAATGTGCTTTGAACCGACCCTCTGTGTCTGCCTCACCATCTCCTCAGCTTACCTAGATACTTGGGAACCCTAACACAAGCCCTTCTAGGAGTCTGTGGTGTGGCTTAGCTGCCTCTGTAGGCATCCCTTGGGGTTAAACATTTTCCACTCTGCTAAGTCAGTGCCATCTGTTCTTTGGCTTCATCTTCCGAAGACCCTGAGCCCTTCCCCACCCTCCTTGCCCCACCCTCCACACCAACTGCGTGGCGCCCTTGAGGCCATAGGGTTGCTACCATAGGATTTTTATATTGAGTGCTCTCATTCCAAGCAACTGTGAGAGATTTCTATGGCAGCGCCTCCGGGTTCCCGTCAAATTAAATTGTAGTTGAGTGTTGGGTGCTATTTAAGAAACATCCCCCTTTCTCCTTCCTAACAGAGCCTTGAATTATTCAGTCACATGGTTTGAAACATGGGGTGGGTCCTGGTTGACTTAACCAGCACTGTCTCACCCCGTGTCACAGTTATTGGTTCCAAAGTGGGTGCATAACTGAGGCTCATGCCAGGTGCCACACAGCACTCCCTTGGTCCCCCTAATGGACTTGGGGATGGGCAAGGGTCTGAGTTGTTCCAATTAGAGTCAAATACAAGTTGTGCTAGGTTGTTAGGAACAAGAGTGTGCTTGTTCATGTTCCCTCTTTGGTGAAGAATGCAACCTCAGAAATTGTTCCTGAAGATTTTGCCACACGCAGAATTATTCTGACTTCACTGAAGGCAGAGCAGAAAATTGGGAAGAGACAGTCCTGGTAGCATCCATGAGCTTCAGTGCTCAGATTCACCCTGAAGCCTGGCCTGCTTCTGAACTACCCACCTGAGTCAATAAATTCCCTTGTATTTAAAGTCAAATTGAGCTGGATTTTTAGTTACTTGCACCTGCAGGTGTTCTGTGAAGCTGGTACTGTGAGTTTGCATCTGAGAATATTTACAGTGTTTCTCTCATGGTTGAGTCAATCATTTCAAGGATGCTCTGAGGGTAAAAAGAACGATCAATTGTGAAGCAGTGAATTGTGCTGCCAGGCACAATTCATTGGACAATAGAAAGCCTCATTTCCTGGGCAGTAGAAAGTTTCATTGTACATAAATTAATATCTTGTTTCTGTCTCAACCTCTTATTTTTTCATATGCAAAGGAGGTAAGGAAATCCAAATAAGTCCAGCAGCTAATATGCCTCTCAGACATGATCCAAAACAGAATTGAATTATGTAAGCCTTGTTAAAATTCATCATCATCATTCATATTTCTGAATATTTAAATTAGAAATTCTGAAAAAGTAGTTTGTTTCAGAGGTAGTTTGTATGTATGTAGGTATATTTTCAGGATCAAAAGTTTATTTTTTATTATCTAATTGAGTTTAATTTACATATAATAAAATTTAGTAATTTTAAGTGTACAAATCAATGCATTTTGACAAATATACATATTGTCATGTACACAACACTACCATTAAAATACATTTCATTACCCCCAAAATTCCCTTGCATGCTGCTGTAGTCAGTGACCCCTGCCCCACACCTCAGCTCCTGGCAGTTGCTTTCTTTCACTCTAGTTTTGTCTGTCTTAGAATATGATACAGGCCACGTGCAATGACTCAAGTCTGTAATCCTAGCACTAGATTGAGAAGCGGGGTTCACTTGAGCCCAGGAACTTGAGATCAGCCTGGGCAACATGGCAAAACCCCATCTCTAAAAAAAAAAAAAAAAGAAAAATACACACACACACAAATTAGCCAGGTGTGGTGGCACACCACTTTGGTCCCAACCCCTTTGGTCCCAGATACTCAGGAGGCTGAAGAATCACCTGAGCCTGGGAGGTCAAGGCTGCGGTGATCTGTGATCACATCACTGCACTCCAGTCTTGGTGATAGAGTGAGATGTTATCTCAAAAAAGAAGTATTTGATATAAATGGAATCATATAGAATATTCTCCTATACTAGTTTCTTTCATGTATTCTAATGCCTTTGAGATATGTCCATGTGGTTTCCAGTGTATATGTCATTCTTATGTTGGGCAGTAACCATTGTAGGAATATATTACAGCTTATCTATTCTTCAGTGATAGGCTATTATAAAAATATTTGGCTATTAAGAAGAAAGTTGTTATGAATACTTACATTCAGGCCTTTGTGTCAACAGATTTTCACTTCTCTTGGTTGAAAACTTAGGAGGAGGGGCGGAGCAAGATGGCCGAATAGGAACAGCTCCAGTCTCCAACTCCCAGCGCGAGCGACACAGAAGACCGGTGATTTCTGCATTTTCAACTGAGGTACTGGGTTCATCTCACTGGGGAGTGCCGGACGATCGGTGCTGGTCAGCTGCTGCAGCCCGACCAGCGAGAGCTGAAGCAGGGCAAGGCATTGCCTCACCTGGGAAGCGCAAGGGGGAAGGGAGTCCCTTTTCCTAGCCAGGGGAACTGAGACACAACACCTGGAAAATCGGGTAACTCCCACCCCAATACTGCACTTTAAGCAAACAGGCACACCAGGAGATCATATCCCACACCTGGCCGGGAGGGTCCCACACCCACGGAGCCTCCCTCATTGCTAGCACAGCAGTCTGTGATCTACCGGCAAGGCAGCAGCGAGGCTGGGGGAGGGGCGCCCGCCATTGCTGAGGCTTAAGTAGGTAAACAAAGCTGCTGGGAAGCTCGAACTGGGTGGAGCTCACAGCAGCTCAAGGAAACCTGCCTGTCTCTGTAGACTCCACCTCTGGGGACAGGGCAATAACAAACACAGCCGAAACCTCTGCAGACGCAAAGGACTCTGTCTGACAGCTTTGAAGAGAGCAGTGGATCTCCCAACACGGAGGTTGAGATCTGAGAAGGGACAGACTCCCTGCTCAAGTGGGTCCCTGACCCCTGAGTAGCCTAACTGGGAGACATCCCCCACTAGGGGCAGTCTGACACCCCACACCTCACAGGGTGGAGTACACCCCTGAGAGGAAGCTTCCAAAGCAAGAATCAGACAGGTACACTTGCTGTTCAGAAATATTCTATCTTCTGCTGCCTCTGCTGCTGATACCCAGGCAAACAGGGTCTGGAGTGGACCTCAAGCAATCTCCAACAGACCTACAGCTGAGGGTCCTGACTGTTAGAAGGAAAACTATCAAACAGGAAGGACACCTACACCAAAACCCCATCAGTACATCACCATCATCAAAGACCAGAGGCAGATAAAACCACAAAGATGGGGAAAAAGCAGGGCAGAAAAGCTGGAAATTCAAAAAATAAGAGCGCATCTCCCCCGGCAAAGGAGCGCAGCTCATCGCCAGCAATGGATCAAAGCTGGACAGAGAATGACTTTGACGAGATGAGAGAAGAAGGCTTCAGTCCATCAAATTTCTCAGAGCTAAAGGAGGAATTACGTACCCAGCGCAAAGAAACTAAAAATCTTGAAAAAAAAGTGGAAGAATTGATGGCTAGAGTAATTAATGCAGAGAAGGTCATAAACGAAATGAAAGAGATGAAAACCATGACACGAGAAATACGTGACAAATGCACAAGCTTCAGTAACCGACTCGATCAACTGGAAGAAAGAGTATCAGCGATTGAGGATCAAATGAATGAAATGAAGCGAGAAGAGAAACCAAAAGAAAAAAGAAGAAAAAGAAATGAACAAAGCCTGCAAGAAGTATGGGATTATGTAAAAAGACCAAATCTACGTCTGATTGGGGTGCCTGAAAGTGAGGGGGAAAATGGAACCAAGTTGGAAAACACTCTATAGGATATCATCCAGGAGAACTTCCCCAACCTAGTAGGGCAGGCCAACATTCAAATCCAGGAAATACAGAGAACGCCACAAAGATACTCCTCCAGAAAAGCAACTCCAAGACATATAATTGCCAGATTCACCAAAGTTGAAATGAAGGAAAAAATCTTAAGGGCAGCCAGAGAGAAAGGTCGGGTTACCCACAAAGGGAAGCCCATCAGACTAACAGCAGATCTCTTGGCAGAAACTCTCCAAGCCAGAAGAGAGTGGGGGCCAATATTCAACATTCTTAAAGAATTTTAAACCCAGAATTTCATATCCAGCCAAACTAAGTTTCATAAGTAAAGGGGAAATAAAATCCTTTACAGATAAGCAAATGCTTAGAGATTTTGTCACCACTAGGCCTGCCTTACAAGAGACCCTGAAGGAAGCACTAAACATGGAAAGGAACAACCGGTACCAGCCATTGCAAAAACATGCCAAAAGGTAAAGACCATCGAGGCTAGGAAGAAACTGCATCAACTAACGAGCAAAATAACCAGTTAATATCATAATGGCAGGATCAAGTTCACACATAACAATCTTAACCTTAAATGTAAATGGACTAAATGCTCCAATTAAAAGACACAGACTGGCAAACTGGATAAAGAGTCAAGACCCATCAGTCTGCTGTATTCAGGAGACCCATCTCACACGCAGAGACATACATAGGCTCAAAATAAAGGGATGGAGGAAGATTTACCAAGCAAATGGAGAACAAAAAAAAGCGGGGGTTGCAATACTAGTCTCTGATAAAACAGACTTTAAACCATCAAAGATCAAAAGAGACAAAGAAGGCCATTACATAATGGTAAAGGGATCAATTCAACAGGAAGAGCTAACTATCCTAAATATATATGCACCCAATACAGGAGCACCCAGATTCATAAAGCAAGTCCTTAGAGACTTACAAAGAGACTTAGACTCCCATACAATAATAATGGGAGACTTCAACACTCCACTGTCAACATTAGACAGATCAACGAGACAGAAAGTTAACAAGGATATCCAGGAATTGAACTCATCTCTGCAGCAAGCAGACCTAATAGACATCTATAGAAGTCTCCACCCCAAATCAACAGAATATACATTCTTCTCAGCACCACATCGTACTTACTCCAAAATCGACCACGTAATTGGAAGTAAAGCACTCCTCAGCAAATGTACAAGAACAGAAATTATAACAAACTGTCTCTCAGACCACAGTGCAATCAAACTAGAACTCAGGACTAAGAAACTCAATCAAAACCGCTCAACTACATGGAAACTGAACAACCTGCTCCTGAATGACTACTGGGTACATCACGAAATGAAGGCAGAAATAAAGATGTTCTTTGAAACCAATGAGAACAAAGATACAACATACCAGAATCTCTGGGACACATTTAAAGCAGTGTGTAGAGGGAAATTTATAGCACTAAATGCCCACAAGAGAAAGCAGGAAAGATCTAAAATTGACACTCTAACATCACAATTAAAAGAACTAGAGAAGCAAGAGCAAACACATTCAAAAGCTAGCAGAAGGCTAGAAATAACTAAGATCAGAGCAGAACTGAAGGAGATAGAGACACAAAAAACTCTCCAAAAAATCAATGAATCCAGGAGTTGGTTTTTTGAAAAGATCAACAAAATTGACAGACCACTAGCAAGACTAATAAAGAAGAAAAGAGAGAAGAATCAAATCGACGCAATTAAAAATGATAAAGGGGATATCACCGCCGACCCCACAGAAATACAAACTACCATCAGAGAATACTATAAACACCTCTACGCAAATAAACTGGAAAATCTAGAAGAAATGGATAATTTCCTGGACACTTACACTCTTCCAAGACTAAACCAGGAAGAAGTTGAATCCCTGAATAGACCAATAGCAGGCTCTGAAATTGAGGCAATAATTAATAGCCTACCAACCAAAAAAAGTCCAGGACCAGATGGATTCACAGCGGAATTCTACCAGAGGTACAAGGAGGAGTTGGTACCATTCCTTCTGAAACTATTCCAATCAATAGAAAAAGAGGGAATCCTCCCTAACTCATTTTATGAGGCCAACATCATCCTGATACCAAAGCCTGGCAGAGACACAACAAAAAAAGAGAATTTTAGACCAATATCCCTGAAGAATATCGATGCAAAAATCCTCAATAAAATACTGGCAAACCGGATTCAGCAACACATCAAAAAGCTTATCCACCATGATCAAGTGGGCTTCATCCCTGGGATGCAAGGCTGGTTCAACATTCGCAAATCAATAAACATAATCCAGCATATAAACAGAACCAAAGACAAGAACCACATGATTATCTCAATAGATGCAGAAAAGGCTTTTGACAAAATTCAACAGCCCTTCATGCTAAAAACGCTCAATAAATTCGGTATTGATGGAACGTACCTCAAAATAATAAGAGCTATTTATGACAAACCCACAGCCAATATCATACTGAATGGGCAAAAACTGGAAAAATTCCCTTTGAAAACTGGCACAAGACAGGGATGCCCTCTCTCACCACTCCTATTCAACATAGTGTTGGAAGTTCTGGCTAGGGCAATTAGGCAAGAGAAAGAAATCAAGGGTATTCAGTTAGGAAAAGAAAAAGTCAAACTGTCCCTGTTTGCAGATGACATGATTGTATATTTAGAAAACCCCATTGTCTCAGCCCAAAATCTCCTTAAGCTGATAAGCAACTTCAGCAAAGTCTCAGGATACAAAATTAATGTGCAAAAATCACAAGCATTCTTATACACCAGTAACAGACAAACAGAGAGCCAAATCAGGAATGAACTTCCATTCACAATTGCTTCAAAGAGAATCAAATACCTAGGAATCCAACTGACAAGGGATGTAAAGGACCTCTTCAAGGAGAACTACAAACCACTGCTCAGTGAAATCAAAGAGGACACAAACAAATGGAAGAACATACCATGCTCATGGATAGGAAGAATCAATATCGTGAAAATGGCCATACTGCCCAAGGTAATTTATAGATTCAATGCCATCCCCATCAAGCTACCAATGAGTTTCTTCACAGAATTGGAAAAAAACTGCTTTAAAGTTCATATGGAACCAAAAAAGAGCCCGCATCTCCAAGACAATCCTAAGTCAAAAGAACAAAGCTGGAGGCATCACGCTACCTGACTTCAAACTATACTACAAGGCTACAGTAACCAAAACAGCATGGTACTGGTACCAAAACAGAGATATAGACCAATGGAACAGAACAGAGTCCTCAGAAATAATACCACACATCTACAGCCATCTGATCTTTGACAAACCTGAAAGAAACAAGAAATGGGGAAAGGATTCCCTATTTAATAAATGGTGCTGGGAATATTGGCTAGCCATAAGTAGAAAGCTGAAACTGGATCCTTTCCTTACTCCTTATACGAAAATTAATTCAAGATGGATTAGAGACTTAAATGTTAGACCTAATACCATAAAAATCCTAGAGGAAAACCTAGGTAGTACCATTCAGGACATAGGCATGGGCAAAGACTTCATGTCTAAAACACCAAAAGCAACAGCAGCAAAAGCCAAAATTGACAAATGGGATCTCATTAAATTAAAGAGCTTCTGCACAGCAAAAGAAACTACCATCAGAGTGAACAGGCAACCTACAGAATGGGAGAAAATTTTTGCAATCTACTCATCTGACAAAGGGCTAATATCCAGAACCTACAAAGAACTCAAACAAATTTACAAGAAAAAAACAAACAACCCCATCAAAAAGTGGGCAAAGGATATGAACAGACATTTCTCAAAAGAAGACATTCATACAGCCAACAGACACATGAAAAAATGCTCATCATCACTGGCCATCAGAGAAATGCAAATCAAAACCACAATGAGATACCATCTCACACCAGTTAGAATGGCGATCATTAAAAAGTCAGGAAACAACAGGTGCTGGAGAGGATGTGGAGAAATAGGAACACTTTTACACTGTTGGTGGGATTGTAAACTAGTTCAACCATTATGGAAAACAGTATGGCGATTCCTCAAGGATCTAGAACTAGATGTACCATATGACCCAGCCATCCCATTAATGGGTATATACCCAAAGGATTATAAATTATGCTGCTATAAAGACACATGCACACGTATGTTTATTGCAGCACTATTCACAATAGCAAAGACTTGGAATCAACCCAAATGTCCATCAATGACACATTGGATTAAGAAAATGTGGCACATATACACCATGGAATACTATGCAGCCATCAAAAAGGATGAGTTTGTGTCCTTTGTAGGGACATGGATGCAGCTGGAAACCATCATTCTTAGCAAACTATCACAAGAACAGAAAACCAAACACCGCATGTTCTCACTCATAGATGGGAACTGAACAATGAGATCACTTGGACTCAGGAAAGGGAACATCACACACAGGGGCCTATCATGGGGAGGGGGGAGGGGGGAGGGATTGCATTGGGAGTTATACCTGATGTAAATGATGAGTTGATGGGTGCAGCACACCAACATGGCACAAGTATACATATGTAACAAACCTGCACGTTATGCACATGTACCCTACAACTTAAAGTACAATAATAATAAATTAATTTAAAAAAAAAAAGAAAACTTAGGAGGAATTATTATTTTTTTAAGTTATAGATTTTTAAATGATTGTCAGTTGTCAGTTACTTTTAAAAAATGTAAATTCTTAAATTTAAAAGTTTAGGATGTCTGACTACCCTGACAAAAACAAGCAATGGGGAAAGGATTTCCTATTTAATACATGGTGTTGGGAAAACCGGCTAGCCATATGCAGAAAACTGAAACTAGACCCCTTCCTTACACCTTATACAAAAATTAACTCAAGATCGATTAAAGACTTAAACATAAGACCTAAAACCATAAAAATCCTAGAAGAAAACCTAGGCAATATCATTCAGGACATAGGCATGGCCAAAGACTTCATGACTAAAACGCCAAAAGCAATGACAACAAAAGCCAAAATTTACAAATGGGATCTAATTAAACTAAAGGGCTTCTGCACAGCAAAAGAAACTCTCATCAGAGTGAACAGGCAACCTACAGAATGGGAGAAAATGTTTGCAATCTATCCATCGGACAAAGGGCTAATATCCAAAATCTACAAGGAACTTAAACAAATTTACAAGGAGAAAAAAAAACCATCAAGAAGTGGGTGAAGGATATGAACAGACACTTCTCAAAAGAAGACATTTATGTGGCAAACAAACATATAAACAAAAGCTCATCATTACTGGTCATTAGAGAAATGCAAATCAAAACCACAATAAGATACCAACTCATGCTAGTTAGAATGGCAATCATTTAAAAGTCAGGAAACAACGGATGCTGGAGAGGATGTGGAGAAATAGGAACGTTTTTACACTGTTGATGAGAGTGTAAATTAGTTCAACCATTGTGGAAGACAGTGTGGCAATTCCTGAAGGATCTAGAACCAGAAATACCATTTGATCCAGCAATCCCATTACTGGGTATATACCCAAAGGATTATAAATCATTCTACTATAAAGACACATGCACACATATGTTTACTGCAGCACTATTCACAATAGCAAAGACTGGGAACCAACCCAAATGCCCATCAATAATAGACTGAATAAAGAAAATGTGGCACATATACATCATGGAATACTATGCAGTCATAAAAAAGGATGAGTTCATGTCCTTTGCAGGGACATGATGAAGCTGGACACCATCATTCTTGGCAAACTAACACAGGAACGGAAAAGTAAACACCGCATGTTCTCACTCATAAGTGGGAGTTGAACAATGAGAACACATGGACACAGGGAGGGCAACATCACACACAGGGGCCTGTTGCAGGGTCGGAGCCTAGGGGAAGGATGGCATTAGGAGAAATACCTAACATAGATGACAGGTTGACAGGTACAGCAAACCACCATGGCACGTGTATACCTGTGTAACAAACCTGCACGTTCTGCTCATGTATCCCAGAACTTAAAGTATAAAAAAAAAACAAAAGTCACAGGATGTTTGTGATAGTATCTATTACACTGATGTTGACATCACACATGGTTGACTATTTGGAGACTCCAAGTGAAATTTCTTGCAGTTCTCAGTACCAGGAAAATATGTATTTCTGGATAAAAACTCAAAAATTTTAGAAAAACATCCAAGTTTCATAGTCTAGAGCTCTAACACTGGAATCTTCCAAATTTAAGGATTAATGATTTACCTAAATCTAAAAATAGTAGGTTGCGGATGTATTTAAACAGTGTGCCTAGGTAGTATGCTTATATATTAAGATTAAAATGGTCTTCTAAAGTTTATTAATTCTAACATAACCTTTATTGTTTCATGTAGACATACCTTTCTGATTCCCAGGATAATTTAAACAATTAATTCTAAGCAACTATTAACTTAGTTCTAGATTGGGATATCTATTTATGCATTTGAAGCTTTAGATATGTATTTCAAATCAGAAATGTGTGCTGGTCATGGAAAGTTGTGACTTAGAGCCTCAGGTAAGTTTTTTTTTCATGTGAACATACTGCTTCCAATTGTTGTTATGCCCAGAGCAGACAATTAATAGATACCCTTGGAACTGAATGAGTGATTAACTGCAAATATCACAATACATCTTCTTAGCGGGCATGATAATTAGACACATTTAGTCCTTGCTGTGACCTAAGAAAGGAATTCTTTTCATTAAATGTTTAATGTCTCACCCTGTTCATACAGCCGGAGTTACTGATTCAGTTTGATGTGAATTCAGTCTCATAAAAGACCCATCATTATAACCTGCACTTATGCTTCCTATAGTATTGGAACTTCCAACTTGTATACAAAATAGATATGCTTCATATTCTTAAAAACCACAAGAAATCTCCCTTTATTCATAATAAACACAGAATTAGGTATTCTATTAAACTGAACAATAGAACTCACTGGGAGTGACCGCATAAACTATATCACGAATTGTCCAAGTGTCTGGAGAGGTCAGTGGGCCATTTCGCTCCACGCTGTGCCATGAGCCAACCACGAGGGTTGTCAGTGACTCACTTCGTGGGTCACCCAGGGCACGTGGTGCTGAGGCTGTCAAAGAGCAAGACGGGGCTACATCTAAACTCAGGCCTCTGCTAAGTGTCCGAACTCGGGCAAGATGCTAAGGACTTTAGAGACGTTTCCTTTTCTATGACTGGGGTTATAACACTCACCCTGTCAGGTTCTCGTGTGCGTTGACAAGGCTGGCACGTGACACACCAGGGGCACAGCTGGACGGGAACCTTCTTCCTCAGACATCAGGGTCCTCATGAGCATCAACAAAATAAAGAGAGCAGGAGAGCAGGAGAGCAGGGGAGCAGGGGAGCAGGGGAGCAGGGCATCTCCAGCTGTGTCGAGACTGCAGCAGGGACTCAGCAACAATCAGTCTCTTTCTCTTGTTTCATCCAAATCATATATTTAAAAAATAGGTGGGGTTATCATGGATGTTTATATTGATTCCTGGGATCAGACAAATATACCTTTCCTTGTCATGCTGTTTTCTCTTCCCAGATGGTTTGAAGAGCTTCGTTTTGGACTTGATATTCCTGGAGTGCATTCTTTTTTCTAATTAGTTCAGTCTCGACCCTGAGCCATCACCCCTCCAGAGTAGCAGGACATTCCACTCCACCATTGTTGGGGTGCCACAATTTCACTACTAATCGAAGGCTCCTTGGTTGCTGAAAAATGAGAGATGTACCTCTAATAATGAGTCTAGATTGTCACTGCTCACTTCCTCATTTTCCAATTCCACAGGGGGCCCCCCAAAGCCCAGAAGGTCTCATTTTGGACGTCTTATAGACCATGGGAACCAGAAAACACTGGGAACCCTAGGGCCAGCACCCACCTTATTTGCACCCTGTCTCTGTTTCCATCACCCTCTAGGTATTGCCACAGAGCAGTGTTGGGACCCACTGGAGATCTGACTGCTCCCAGTCTGGGAAACTGCCTTCTCTCCCTCCACTGATATCATATTTCTACTTTCCACCCCACAGAAATCCTTGAATGAATCACAAAAGGGATTGGTACTTACCTGGTGTGAAGCAGAGCTGAGCCAAAGGATGAAGCAATATTGCAATGGACTCTGTCATTGATATCACTAGTTCGCAAATCTTTTACCACTATGGTCAAATTTTTATATTCACTTTAAAATTATAACTCATCTGCTCATTGTATTCAAGGCAACATCTACCCTAAAATGTACTCAGGCATTAATTTATGCTTTTCTGTTTACAAATGAGAATTCATAAGCAAATTGAGGTAGCAATTACATTGATGTAGCAATTACAAAACTGAAGGCAAAACAGAAGACATATACACATACATCAGTGAAACAAAACAAAGAGCCCAGAAACACACTGAAATACAGCCAGCTGATCTCTGACAAAGGAGTAAAGGCAATTCAATGGAGAGAGGAGAGTCTTTTTAACAAACGGTGCTGGAACAAATGGACATCCATGTGCAAAAAAAAAAAAAAAAAAAAGAATCTATAAACAGACCTTACACCTTTTACAAAAGTTAATGCAAAGTAGATATTAGATCAATATATTAAATGCAAAATTTTCAAACTCCTAGAAGATAACATAAGGAAAAACTCTAGATAACCTCGGATTTGGTGATTCTTTTAGATACAATAGCAAAAGCATTATCCACGAAGAAAAATATTGGAAAGTTGAACTTTAACATAAAAAAACTTTACTTTTGTGAAAGATACTGTTAAGAGAATAAAAAGACAAACCAGAGACTGTGAGAAAATATTTGCAAAATATATCTAAGGATTCATATCTGAAATATGCAAAGAACTCTTAAAACTCAATAAGAAAACAAATAACCCAATTAAAAACGGGCAAAAGCTGAACAGATATGCAGATGGAAATTAAGTATATGAAAAGATGCTCTGTACAATGTGTTATTAGGAATTGACAATTAAGACAACAGTAAGATACCACTACATACCTATTAGAATGGCCAAAATCCACAAGACCAAAAACACCAAATGCTGGTGAGGATGTGGAGCAAAAGAAACTCGCATTCATTGCTGTGGGCATTATGTGACATTTTGGAAAAGGGAAAATTACATAGATAGCAAAATAATCAGTGGTTGACAGGGGTTGGGGAGAGGAAAGGATGGATGGACAGAGAGCCCTGGCTGTTTAGGGCAGTGAGACCACTGTGTGCGATTTCACAACGGTGGACCCACGACAGTGTGCAGATGCCCACACCAATTGAATGCAGACCACAAAAAGGTATTAATTACATAAACCATAAACTTTCATAATGAAATAAATGTTTTTTAAAAGAAGATAGTGTTGTTCAGTTACTGTCTACTTTCTGAAATGGAGATGGTGGAGCGCTTTCATGGTGTGAGGATAAAAATAGATTAGAGAATGTAATAACTAAAATAGGTATGTAAACATTGTTAAACTATTTTATTCTCATTTAAAAAACATGCGTTAAATATATTTGTTATGCTTTACAATTGAGCAAGTAGTGCAAACACATTAATATAATTCTCCTCTAGCTCCACTCAGAAGTCAGGACTGCAGGGCTTCAGTGCAGGACCGCACAGCTCCACCTGCACCTGCCAAATGCAACAACCTCTTTCAGTGTCATTAAAATATTTCAGTAGGAGGATTGAGTTTAGATCCAACCTGTGTTTTCTCCCCTGGAAAACAAAGGTTTTTATGAAACAAAGAAGGTCTTTACCGTCTTCATCTGAAATGCTGAGGCATCTGCAATGTCTGCTGTAAGTGACACCAGGCTCTCCTCTGAAATCTAGCAATGGGAAAATAGACTGTAGATTCTGCTTTCAGAAAGGGGGGAATCAGAACTAAGTCGAAATGCCATGTCCTCATTCATAAACATCTTATTTTACAAATTCCACAGGTTTAGTTATTTGGGGATTAATATGGGCCTATTTTAAAGTGCATTTATTAATTTAGCATGAATTGTTCAAATGCATTCTGGATCCTGAGCTGATATCCAGCAATGCTAAGTGTGTGCCTGTGTGAGTCACCAGCACTGATGAGCCTCAGGTTATTGTATTTATAAACTGAAGGGGCTTAGGCTTGCTCTGATTTTTTAAAAACCATTTTTAACAGTAAAAACTGTTTTTCTTGCTACATAAAAATGTACAAGAAAAACTCAAATATTACCAATGATAAATTATAATTTTATTAATATAAATATTTTTGTGAGCTCAACTTATATGACAGTTATTATAAAAGAAATAAGCAATGCCAGGCGCGTTGGCTCAAGCCTATAATCCCAGCACTTTGGGAGGCCGAGACGGGCGGATCACGAGGTCAGGAGATCGAGACCATCCTGGCTAACACGGTGAAACCCCGTCTCTACTAAAAAAATACAAAAAAACTAGCCGGACGAGGTGGCGGACGCCTGTAGTCCCAGCTACTGGGGAGGCTGAGGTAGGAGAATGGCGTGAGCCCAGGAGGTGGAGCTTGCCGTGAGCAGAGATGGGGCCACCGCACTCCAGCCTGGGCGACAGAGCGAGACTCCGTCTCAAAAAAAAAAAAAAAAAGAAAGAAATAAGCAATATGAGGTGGCCATTACCATCCTTTCTCATTTTATTTTGTTGCTATTGATTTATTTTATATGCTATTGATAAATCTTGATGTATACAGAAAAGTAGTTTCAAAGAATAATTTTTTAAAAATCTTGACTTGTAATTTCAAGCAACTTTCAAAAAATTCTTGCAATTTAGTTTTAAAGATTCTAGAACAGTTTTCTATGTCTTAAAGCTAAATAACTACAAAGAGCTACCTCTTCTCACATTCTGTATTATAAATATGTAAGTCAGAAAAGGAACAGACAAAATCATAAAAACACATGCATGAACAAATGGGCCTTGGCTCACATTTACTTGGATCTGGCAATGCACCTGGGTTACAGTACTATTTTTGTGTGTAATTTTACATGAGTGGACTGTTGTCAAAATAAAAATTGTCTACAATCTCTATTTAGTGGTATATTTGCACAAATGGTAAACATATACATAGAGATAATGAGAGAAATTTATTTCATGGCTTACAAGAAGACAGGTTGAGACATTTAATTGTTTCATTCATGCTACCTTTTATGATGCACTTGTATGGGCATGGTATTTAAATGTGTTATTAAAACTTTTAAATGCTCAATGTTACAGATGGAATTATTAGAGAAAGTACTAACTTATATCCTCTTTGTGTGTGCTTTGGAGGCACCAGGAAATAATAAAGCAGCACTTTTCCCATCTATTTCCTGAAGGCCAAGCTGTGCTTTTGCAGATTAGGTCTTTCTGTAACACATACACACACACACACACACACACACACACACACACACACACACACAATATAGCCTTTAGGGGTTTAAAGGAGGAAAAGAGAATTTGCCTGGATAGCTCTCACCTAGGTATTTTCTAGGGAGATCTAGAATCATCTAAGGGTTAAGTTAATCTGGACTAGCCAATGGGAAAACAAAATGAGGATGCCGGGGAGATGTTCCCAGAACAGTAGCATTCCTAATGGGCTAGGCCCTAGTCACATGCAGTTCTCCAGATGTGGTTGGTGTGGCCAAGGTTCCGGCATGTGACGGCTGCCTTCCTGGCACTTCTTGTGCTGTGAGGAGCATCCCCTCCCCAGTGCCAGGGCAGTGGTCCTCTCACCCCCTTCAGAGTAAAGGGCCAGCAGTCAGCAGTCACAGGAAAAGTAGTGAGACAGGAAGGTGAGGAGCATGAAGTGCCACCATCCCAGCCTCCAGTGTCTGGCACAGAATATGACGAGGAACTTCCACGAATTGGAATCTTCCACATCTCGATAATTATATCTAGCAGATGGGAGTTTCTGCTAGATATAATTTGGCTTATAAAAAGAAAGAAATATTGTCTTCTTGCATGTAAATATTGTAGAAGAGTTAATGATTGTAACCTGCATGTTTTACATTCTGAGATGCTATTAAATCAATATGCATCACAAAACTATTGATAATTTTTTAGAAGAACAGAAGAGATCTCATCATATGAAATGCAGTGGATCAATTGTAAGATGCAGGCTAACTCCAGAGTAAGTAAAGCATGGGAAAAAATCTGTCTTAGAATGGAAAAATACAGTGGTGAAACTATTTTTAACTAGAATTTAAATGCAATATTTGAGGATATGAAGCCCACAACTCATTTTGAAAACTACTGGCTCAGATGACCTCAGCGATAGGAAACCTCTGAAAGAACATTAATCTAATCATAATTTTCTGTGCCTTTGCCTGAGAGTCTATCTGAAAGTGGTGCAGTTTTTACAGAAGAGGAATAACGTGTCCCAAACTGGGAACCCTTCACAGGTCACCATTCGGGTGGTGCTTCACTGTGGAGTTTTGGTCAGCAGAGGGCTCCAGGGACTGCTGGGGAAGGCCAGGACATGGAAAAAGGCCTAGAGCCAGGGTTACCTGGGAAAGAGTGGACCCATTTTGCCAAGCACCTAAGGACCATGCCATACAGGACCCTCTCAAAATCACTCGTACACTATGTGGGAATAAAGGATAAGAGAAATTAATGTGTACTTAGCATGTGAGAGCTGAAATTCACAGTCAGCCTCAGCAAACAAATCCATACAGAAGGACGAAGTGCATGTTGTGAGACAAAGAACACCCAATTATAAGATAGAAAACCTCAGTTCTGGAAAATTCCTGAACCTGTTTGCCCATCCATGAAACAGGAATAGTGATACTACCTTCTCCACCTTTTTTCTAACAGAACTGCACATTTCTTTCAGGCCCACAGCTAAGTGTTTAATGGGAATAATGTGGAAATATAAGGTCATTGCTCTTGCATAAAAGGTTCAAGAAAACTGAGAAAGATCTAAACATGCCGAAAGGAATGATTTTTCAAAGTACAACATCTTAATTTACATAGAGAGAAATAATTTTGTCTCAAAGATTTGGCCACAGCGTAAATGCAGCACTGAAGAGTAGTTAAGCTATTTCTTCAAAGAAAATATATCAAAATTAAATCTGTACTTTTTGAGTGTGAATTATAATACACAAACCTGGTGCAATATATTTAAAACAAAGCAGAGATTAATTAATTAATTAATTAATGGTTCCCCCATCACCCTTTTCAGAAAACTCAGTAACTTAGTGCCTTAAGATGTTCAAATTGTCCCCAAAAGTTGAGATATTAGATAGTTTAAAAACCTTTTCTCAAGCTTTGTTATTCTAGCTTCAGTTGGAAGATGCTTCCAACTTAAAGATGGTAGACCAAATACTGACCCAGTTGTTTCCTTTCCCTCCCAAGAAACCATGATGGTTATCCATCATGTAGAGAGAGCAGCAGAGACAAAAAAGTGATTTGATGGCCTCACAGCCTTGAGAAGGAGCATCATCTGTGGACCTTCCTGGGGGTGAGGGGCGGAGAAGTGAGGCAGGCATCAGAAAACAGGAGGGTTGATTAAAATCTATACATTAACAGTCAACCCTTATTATCCTCCCTCACCGATACCTGCACCCCACCCCTCAGGTAACCAGTGAGTAGAACACCAACAACCAACAGCAAGCACCTGCCTTCCAGAGAGGAGAGGAAAAGTTTTTCTCCAGAGAAAGGAAACCATCTAGACCAAAGACATCACTTACTAACATGTGGAAACCCTATCGACTCCCGGAAAAAAAAAAAAAAAACCTCTAGACGAGCCTTTTACTAATGATAACAGACTCCTTTCTTCTTCTTCCTGTGTCACTATTAAATGTGAACAATGAAGAATCACCAGACATTTAAGGGAAACCAATCCCAATGAGAAAAAAGACCAAACCAGCAGGTGGAGTGATTGTTGAGAAACTAACGTTGTAGCAAAATAAGAAATAAGAGTATTACATCATCATTCACTTAGTGGCACTGTCTGGGGTTTCACTATACAAATATATCACTTTGATACAGTTTTTTCTTTTTGTTTTTGTTTTTTGTCAGAGTCTCACTCTGTTGCCCAGACTGGAGTACAGTGATGCAATCTCAGCTCACTGCAACCTTTGTCTCCCGGGTTCAAGTGATTCTCCTGCCAATTTTTGTATTTTAAGTAGAGACAGGATTTCACCATGTTGGCCAGGCTGGTCTCAAAGTCCTGACCTCAGGTGATCTGCCCACCTTGGCCTCCCAAAGTGCTGGCACTATAGGCATGAGCCACCATGCCTGGCCTGATAGAGTTTTAACTATTAGAAGAAACCATAGGAAGCTACCTTTCAAATAGATCAAACATCAGCAACATATTAAAATATCACCAATTTCACACGTTCAAGATTATTTTTTTAAAAAAAGAGAGAACAGAATTGATTCAATTTCTAGGCCAGCAACCAAGGAAAAAGCAAAGAATGAAAGATTTTATCATCGCATAATAATAGCAAGATCTTACATTTCTATTGAGCTTTAAAGATGACAGTCCAGGCACGGTGGCTCACATCTGTAATTCCAGCACTTTGGGAGGCCGAGTCGGGTGAATCACAAGGTCAGGAGTTCAAGACCAGCCTGGTCAATATGGTGAAACCCCAACTCTACTAAAAATACAAAAATTAGCCAAGTGTAGTGGCAGGTACCTGTAGTCCCAGCTACTTGGGAGGTTGAGACGGGAAAATCACTTGAAGGCGGAGGTTGCAGTGAGCCAAGGTCACTCATGCCACTGAACCCCAGCCTGGGTGACAGAGCGAGACTCAGTCTCAAACAAACAAACAACAACAAAGATTACAAAACACATCAATATACATTGTCTTGTTTGATCTTTAAACAATCCTATAATTGTAATTAATATATCAAAAAATTGTAATTCTTGAGAAATCCAGGATGACATAAATGAAGCCTAAACACAGCTTTAATTTGCCAAGTAATGGGTGGAGAAGGGATCGGAAGTCAGGCTGACTGACCCCACATCCTCTCCTTCCATTACTTAAAAGAAGTCAGCCAGGATGAAAGCTTGGGAAGGACCTGAGATAAAGGCAGTGGGAAAAGAGCAGTGTCAAGGATGAACTATAAACAGAAGTAAAAGAAGGAACACCTTAAATACAAAAATATATGTCCACAAAGCTGAGAGTTGTATGAAGCCGTGTAATTAGAGAACATCATGTTGACAGCAGACTCTTGACCTAGGGGAAAACGTTCATGACACTGACTCCAAGAAGGATAAACTTGAAGGATTCCAGATGTGAGGCAGTCAAACCCTCACTTGGAAGCACTGTACAAATGTTCATGTTAAGAACTGAAATGAATTCATACCCACATAAAACTACATGTAGGGATAGGCTTACTTTGTAAGATGTTTCTGGACCCTACATTAGCAGCTGTACACACTTACACAACACAAACACAGGCCAGCCTGTCACCTGGGCAGCTGGAGGGGTAGCCTGGACAGGGCGGTGACAGTCTCCCCCGAACCCTTCCTTCTTGTCTGTGACTGACTCCTATTCACATGCTACAAGGACCATACACTTGTGGAATCCAACTCAGCTCCCTTTAGAACCAAAGGATGCCTCTGTGACACATGCAGAAATGACTTCCTTTTCATTTTCGTTCAGTTTGTAGGAAGAGAACAGCTGCAAGAGAGAGAAAGAAAATATACACAGTGGCTTGGTGGAGACGGCACCTGAAGAGCAATTTTCGTATTTAGCCCCAACAGTTTATAAACATTCATGCAGTAATTAAAGATATTCCCCAAAACCAGGAAACACAATTGAGTCAGTTTCTGTTAGTGAGCATCACACTGCGACCCTGGGTCCAGATGTCCTTGGAAAAGATCAGAGACATAACACAATTGAGTCAGCTTCTGTTAGTGAGCATCACGCTGCAACCCTGGGGTCAGATCTCCCTGGAAAAGGTCAGAGACAAAACACATCACGGCCTCTGTTTATGCAGCTTACTGAAGTTTACACGGAATCTCCATGCCCTCCCTGCGTTTAAGCCTTCTATGCAAATGACAGAGACTCTCACTAGAGAAGGAGTAGTAGATTCTCGTCCAGTTCCGTGAGTCAACACCTGCATTGCCTCACTCTCCATGTTGACGGCTGCAGAGGACTTTCCATTCTCGGCCCCCACTGCCTCCAGAAACACCGTTTTTACGTTGCCATAGCTAATGTTAACACCTCCTAGAATAAAGGGGGAGTCACCACTGAGGGTCAGTTCTGGTTCAGACTCTGGAGTGAGGGCATTATTCTTTTTGCATATAATGCAGTGACTCCACATTGCACCAGTGGCTTGGTCAAAAAAGACAAAATTTCTGGGGAATTAGTGTTGATTATTTTTAGATATCATAACCTTGGCTTTATGGACACCTTATATTAAACAGATCTCACTCGCCAAATGCCACAGGATGCAGGCCAACAGACAGGCTCCGAGGGCTCTTGTGAGCTGGAACTGCCATATAAGCAAAACCACAAGAGAGAGAGAACACTGCCCACGTTCAACACAGTATAGCCACCCTGAAAGCCTCACCCTTTCTTTTAGAAATGTGTTTAGATTTTATACACTTTTGCTAGATTGTTATGTAAGATTTATGTACTGAAAGGTCTTAAAGATTTTTAAATGTTGAGTAAAATGTTCACGAGTATAGTTTATATATATATGTGTGTGTGTGTGTATGAAACAAACCTGTCATATAATTTATTTTCTTTAAAAACAAGGCCCTGGCTGGGTGCAGTGGCTCACGCCTGTAATCCCAGCACTTTGGGAGGCTGGGGCGGGCAAATCACGAGGTCAGGAGTTCGAGACCAACCTGGCCAACATGGTGAAACTCCGTCTCTACTAAAAATACAAAAAATTAGCTAGGCATAGTGGCAGGCACCTGTAATTTCAGCTACTTTGGAGGCTGAGGCAGGAGAATCACTTGAACTCGGGAGGTAGAGGTTGCAGTGAGCCAAGATCATGCCACAGCACTTCAGCCTGGGTGACAGAGTGAGACTCCATCTCAAAACAAAAAACAAAAAACAAGACCCTTATACAAATTACCCTTGGAACTTTTATTTAGAATTTAAGGTTATTTGGCGCTTAGTGTCACGTAAACAAAATTCTCCCAATTGCTAGGGTCCTCTTGGGGTGCTGCATTCCTGTAAGCCATGATCATGCCAGAAAAACAGACCCTTCTCCATCTAGGAACTCAAATGCCAAGAGTGATGCCAGATCAACTTTCATTACTGAGTCATACGTTCCTAAATTCAGTGTATCATAGAAAAACAGACATACCCTTAACAGTTTAACCTGACAAAGTTCTGAAATACTTCCGTTGCAATAGAAGTTGTGAAAAGGCTATCTTGCTAGAGATCTCTGACTCAGAGAAGAAAGTAAAGGCTGGGCGCAGTGGCTCATGCCTGTAATCCCAGCACTTTGGGAGGCGGAGGCAGGTGGATTACTTGATGTTAGGAGTTCGAGAGAAGCCTGGGACACATGGTGAAACCCTGTCGATACCAAAAATAAAAAAATTAGCTGGGCATGGTGGTGTGTGCCTATAATGCCAGCTACTCGGGAGGCTGAGGCAGGAGAATGGCTTGAACCCTAACCTGAAACCAAACACGAACCCTAACCCGAACCCCAACCCTAACCCTAAACCTAACCCAAAACAGAACCCGAACCCTAACTCGAATCTTAACACTAAAATGGAACCAAACCCTAACCCAACCCTAACCCCTAACCCTAACACTAACCCTAACCCAAAAATAACCCTAACGCTACCGCTAACCCAACCCTAACACTACCCCAACCCTAAACCCTAACCCCTAACCCTAACCTTGACACCGACCTCGACCCCGAACCCTGACCTAACCTCTAACCCTAACCCTAACCCCAAGCCCTAACCCTAACCCTGAACTCGAACCTAAACCCTAAACCTAACCCTAAACCCTAACCCAACCCCTAACCCGACCCCAACTCCGACCCCTGACCCTGACCCCTAACCCTAACCCCTAACCCTCTAATCCTCTACCCTCTAACCCTCTAACCCTCACCCTCGCCCTAACCCTAACCCTAGCCCTAGCCCTAACCCTAAAATCCTAACCCTAAAATCCTAACCCTAACCCTTGGGTGGAGAGAACCTCTGTGCGCAGGATTCAGAGGGGATTTCGGTTTCCCGTTTTCCACACTGAACCATTCTAAGTAGTCTCTGACCTTCGTTATTCAGGGCTAGAAACAGGAAGTATTTTATTCACTGTGGATGCGGCCCCGAGTTGTCCCAAAGCGAGGCGGTGCCGCCAACGTCTGTGCTGAGCACAACGCAGCTCCGCCCTCGCGGTGCCCCCCACGCCAGGGTCTGGGCAGAGTAGAACGCTGCTCTGTCTTCACGGTACCCCCGAGGTCTGTGCAGAGGAGAACACAGCTCCGCCCTCGGGATGCTCTCAGTGTCTGGGCTGAGGAGAATGCAGCTCCGCCCTCACAAACGTACAGCGCCGGCGCTGGCGCACAGTCGCACGCCAGGGCAGGCGCAGAGTCGCACGCCGGCGCAGCTCAGGCGCAGAGTCCTAAGCCAGGCGTGGCCCAGGCTGGCGCAAGCGCAGAGTCGCACGCCCGCGCGGTGGCGGGGGGAGGGTCGTGGTGCAGGCGCAGAGACGCACACCGCGTGGGCCTGAAGGGGCGGGGTGCAGGGGCAGAGACGCACGCCGCGAGGGGAGGGGCGCAGAGACGGGCGAAACATCAGTAATCTGAAAAGCCGGGCTCCGGCGACCCCTGCTTGCAGCTGCGCACTACAGGGCCCTCTTGCTCACAGTGCTGTGCAAGTGCGCCCCCTGCTGGCGACTAGAGCAACTGCAGGGCGCTCTTCCTTACAGTGGTGGCCAGCGCCCCCTGCTGGCGCCGGGGCACTGCAGGGCCCTCTTGCTCGCAGTATAGTGATGGCACGCCACCTGCTGGCAGTTGGGGACGTTGCAGGGCTCTCTTGCTCAGTGTAGTAGCAGCACTCCCGATGCTGGCAGCTGGGGACACTGCCCGGCCCTCTTGCTCCAAGTGAAGTGGCGGCTGGCTCCGCAGCTGGCAGCTGGGGACACTGCCGGGCCCTCTTGCTTGCCTTGTAGTAGGGCACGCCCCCTTCTGGCCGCTGGGGGCACTACAGGATCCTCTTGCTCAGTGTGGTGGCAGCACGCCCCCTGCTGCCAACCAGGACACTGTAGGATCCTCTTGCTCATGGTGTGGTGCCCGTGCGCCACCTGCTGGCAGCTAGGGACACTGCAGGGTCCTTTTGCTCACAGTATACCCGTCGTACGCCCCCTGCTAGCAGCTGGGGACACTGCCCGGCCCTCTTGCTGGCAGTGTCGTCGCAGCACAACACCTGCAGGGAGATGGGGACTATGCAGGGCCCTCTTGCTCCAAGTGTGACGGCTGGCGCCCCCTAAAGGCCACCTTCTGCACCACTTAAAGTTGGAGCGCCAGTTATTAAGTGCCATCAGTTCTGGAAATGGATGTCCCAGTTCTTGTCTAACTTGGAAGAAAGATTTTCACCAAGGGACAATACAGAGATGGCAGACAACTTCATTGAAAAAAATACAGTGTGAAGAGCTTATTGTAGAAAAATAGAGAGGAGTAGGCTGATCATGCAGGAAAGCAGCGTAAGAGTCCTGTGCAGGGAATTTTATTTTGGACTTCTTCACATTCCTGCCTCTGTCTCAAGTGTCCAGCAGTTTTCTTTGTCTGGTTTTCCTGCTACTGCCTTAGGTCCCCAACTTGCCCCACTTAGGCTTGTGGGACCTCCTCACTGTTGGTTGAGGCACATGTGTGGTGATCGGTTGGAATCCACTCTGGCACCAGGCTCCTTCCCGCCATCCCGGGCAGGCTGACAGCAGTCACATTTGTACCTACTGCGTCTATCTCTTTTGAATGTGCTTCTCTGCCCTAATCTGTACTTATGGTGCCAGGTTTCTTTTAAGACTGTCCCCTTTGTCCTTATCAGCATGTATCTAGCAATATTGTCACATTATTACTGCAGAGTGAATGATGATTGGGGCATCTTAAGAGGATTTATAGGGTGTTTCTTTCTGCATAGGTACCTCTTCTCCCTCCTACCCACAACTGACAAGTGTCTATCCACTCTAGCATTACAGATGCCACTAAATGTGAATTTTTGGTGGTCGCTCCAGGTGAGCCTTCCCAGACTTTCCCTTTTCCAGGAGCTCCCCCTCCTGTTCATGTCTAGCCATCTATCTGCTCTAACAGAGCCCACTATCCTGTGTCTTTCCCAAAAATAGTGAGGGAATGATTACTGGAAACCATAGGAAATGATATGCATGTAGATGAAAACTTTACAACTTACACAAATAATCACTCAAAATCATCCTTACACTAAAAATGCAAAACTATACAATTTCTAGAAGAAACTATACAAGAAAAGCTATGTGCCTTTGGGTTTGTTAATGAATTTTAACAAATGACACAAAAGGTTGATATACGCAGAAGAAATGACAACGTGGATTTCTTAATATTTAAAGTTTATACTCTGGAAAAGACCTTGTTAATGGAACAAAAAGACAAGCCACATATTGAAAAAAAATTTTGCAAAATACAGATCTGAGAAAGAATTTGTATTCAAAATATATACAAAATTCTTAAAACTGAACAATAAGTTAAACAGCCCAATTAAAAATGCACACAGTTCTGAACAGACACCTCACCAAAGACGATCTACACATGGCAAGTAAACATACAAAAAGATGCTCAACACACTAGAGAACTGAAAACCACAATGAGATAGCACAGCTGGTTTATATCTGTTAGAACTGCTAAACTATAAAAAAATGACAAATTGCTGGAGGAAAAACAAGAACTCTTTTCATTGCTGGTGGAAGACAGTGTGTAACACCAGAATATGCCACCCCAAAATATGTCCCTTTGGCATAAGAACTATTCTGAGCTGATTACTCTGAAAAAATGCTAAAAAAGAAGTTCTGAAAACAGAGTAGAAGTTACCCTTGTGTAAGGAAAATTTACATCTATAAACGAAATCCCCATTTAAAAGATCTCTCTCTCTCTCTCTCTCTCTCTCTCTCTCTCGGCACCAACCAAGAACAGAAGGATGACTAAATCACTAAAGAGTCTTATCAACAGAGAATGCATGGAGTTAAGTCTGTGTAAGAAAACTTACCCTTGTCTACTCTGCTTTTGCTTGTTACGTCCCCACTACTGAGCCTCAAATCTTCTTTCTTTAAGTTGAAGATAGCATTTACACTTGAATTGAAAGTCACCTGTTGGGGATTTACTCATTTTTCCCTGAGTATCTCCCATGTATCCATAAGGTATACATATTTTTAAACTTGTCTACTTTTTTTCTCATTTTAATCTGTAATTTGTTACAGAGAGTCCCATCTAAGAATTCTGTAAAGGTAGAGAGAAAATTATTTTTCCTCCCCTATTACAAGTTGGGCAGTTTTCCCAAAGCTAAACAAGTCTCACCTTACAATCCAAAAATCATATTCGTAACTATTTTGACAGCTACTTTGATATTATTTCCAAACAAAAGCTACCATGCAATTATGTACAGAAGCCCTATTCATAATGACCAAAGGAAAAAAAGGAATCAGAAAGTCTTACAACAGATGACTGTGTAAGAACCCACTCAGACATCAAGAGTTGTTATAGGGACCGGGCACAGTGGCTCACTCCTGTAATCCCAGCACTTTGGGAGGCTGAGGCAGGTGGATCACAAGGTCAGGAGATCAACACCATACTGGCTAACACTGTGGAACCCTGTCTCTACTAAAAAAATAAATAAATAAAAAATTAGCCGGATGTGGTGGCAAGCACCTGTAGCCCCAGTTACTCGGGAGACTGAGGCAGGAGAATGGCATAAATCTGGGAGGCGGAGCTTGCAGTGAGCCAAGATCGCACCACTGCACTCCCGCCTGGGTGACAGAGAAAGACTACATCTCAAGAAAAAAAAAAAAAAAAAAAAAAAACTTGTTTGTTTTATATTTAATAGTGATAACTCTGAAGACATAGTTGTTTTATTACACAAAAAATATTAAATTTATCTTATTTAACTAAGTTTTATCCAAATCACGTTAACCTGAAAAACATTTGGATCAGTTCCTATATTTCTAGGAGTTTGGGGAATATTTATTTATAAATGATTTTTTTTTCCAAGCCAAGTTAGAATAGAGCACTTCTAGAGGATTGTATAAATGAATTTTGCAATGCTATCCAGAGTTAAGAAAAATCAAATATACACAACATACATTAATAGACATACAAACACAAATAGAGATCTCATAGCTTTCATCCTGAAATTTTAGCCACGAATCAGGTATAAATATTCTGATAGTTAATTGTAGATGTCTGCTTGATTGGATTAAGAGATACTAACATAGCTGTGAGGGTGTTTCTGGAAGACACTGAGATAAGGAAGATCCACTCTGACCCAATGTGGATGGGCACTGATACGGTTTGACTGTGTCCCCACGCAGATCTCATCCTGAATTGTAGATCCTATGATCCCTACATGTTGTAGGAGGGACCTGGTGGGGTACGATTGAATCACGGTGGTGGTTACTGCCATGCTGTTCTCATGATCTGATGGTTTTATAAGGGGCTTTTCCCCGTTGACTTAGCAATTCTTGCTGCTGCCATGTGAAGAAAGACATCTTTGCTTCCCCTTCCATCATGATTGTGAGGCCCCTCCAGCCATGGGGAACTGTCAGCCCATTAAACCTCTTTGTTCTTTACAAATTGCTTATACTCAGGTACTTCTTCATAGCAGTATAAAAATGGACTTAAAAAGGCACCATCCAATTGCTTGAGAGCCCAGTAGAACAAAAAGGAAGAGGAAAGGTGAATTATCTCCTTCTGAAACTGAAACATCCTTCTCTTGTCTTTGACATCAGAACTTCAGGGTCTCAGGCCTTTGGCCTCAGAATGAGGGTTACACCATTGGCTTAACTGATTCTGAGCCCTTTGGACATGGACTGAGCAATGCTACCAGCTTTCCTGGTTCCCCAACTTGGAGACAGCCTATTGTGGACTTTCTCAGCCTCAATAATTATGTGAACCAGTTTCCCTAATGAATCTTCTCTCATCTGTCTATCTACATAAATCCGACGGATTGTGCCTTTCTGGGGAACCCAGACTAATGTGATTACAAGAATACAAAATTCACCAGTTTATATAGAGGACTTGGGTTTTATCTTTACCCCATTTTATATTTGTAATACAACTGTGTTTCTGGAAAATGGAACAAGTTTTTATCTTCTTCATATGAAGGCTAAAGCTTTTTACTCACCAATATTTTTGGAGATTTTTAAGATTTTCAAGATTTTCTTTTGACCCTAACCACTAAACCTAACCCTAACCCCTACTGCTAAACCCTAACCCTAACCCCTACCGTTAAACCCTAACCCTAACCCTAATCCTAAACGCTAACCCTAAACCCTAACCCTAACCCTAGCCCTAAACCTAACAGAACCCCAACCCAAACCCTAAATCCAACCCCAAACCCAACCACAACCCTAATGCTAACACTAACCCCAATCCCATCTCTAAAACCATAACCCTAAAATCCTAACAACCCTAAATCTAACAACCCTAACCCTAACACTAACAAACCTAATGTTAGCAACCCTAAACCTAACAACTGTAACCCTGACTGACCCTAACTCTTTGTATAAATATCAAGTGATCTTGAATAGCCAAAATACTCCTGAAAACCAAAAGCCCACTTAGTTGCTCACATTTATCATTATCAAATATTACTGCAAAGGAATAGTAATCAAGACAACATAATACTGGCATAAGGAGACAAATATAAATCAATGGAACTGAATGTCCAGTCCAGAAATAAAACCATACCTCTACGGCCAACTGAGTTTTGACATGAGCCAAGACCACTAAATTCAACAAACGCTGCTAGCATCTGACTACCTACAGTCAGAGGTAACAAAATGTACCGTGACTGTACACTTACCTCACAACACAGAAAAAGTAACTCAAAATGGTTCAAAGCCCTACATATAAGAGTTACAAACAGAAACTCTAGAAGAAAACGGATATATCTTCATGACCTTGGATTTGGCAAAGGTGTTGCAGATCTGAAACCAAAAGCACTAGCCACAAAAGAAATAATTTCCTCAAAATTAAAAACTTTTATGCATCAGAAGACATTATCAAGTAAGTTGGCTGTGCACTGTGGTTCACGCCTGCAATCCTAGCACTTTGGGAGGCAGAGGCAGGAGGATCACTTGAGTCCAGGAGTTCAAGACCAGCCAGGATGACAGAGCAAAACCCCATCTCTACTAATAATACAAAAATTAGCCAGGAATGGTTGCACACAGCTGCAGTCCCAGCTACTAGGGAGACTGAGGCGGAAGGACTGCTTGAGTCCAGAACATAGAGGTTGTAGTAAGCTGAGATCGCACCACTACACTTCAACCTGGGCAACAGTGCAAGACCCTGTCTTAAAAAAAAAAAAAAAAGAATGAGTATGATGGCTCACGCCTATAATCCCAGCAATTTGGGAGTCTGAGGCAGACGGAACACTTGAGGTCAGGAGTTGGAGACCAGCCTGGCCAACATGGCGAAACCTTGTCTCTACTAAAATTACAAAAATTAGGGCCGGGAGCAGTGGCTCATGCCTGTAATTCCAGCTCTTCTGGAGGCTGAGGCAGAAGGATCAACTGAGAATGGGAGTTCAAGACCAGCCTGACCAACAAAAACAAACCCCATCTCGACTAAAAATACAAAATTAGCTGGGCGTAGTGGCACATGCCTGTAATCCCAGCTACTCGGGAGGCTGAGGCAGAAGAATCACTTGAACCCAGGAGGTGGAGGTTGTGGTGAGCCAAGAGTGCACCACTACACTCCAGCCCGGGGAACAAAGCAAGATTCAGTCTCCAAAAAAAAAAAAAAAAGAGAGAGAAAGTGAAAAGTCAACCCACAGAAAACAAGAAAATATCTGCGCATTATATATCCAACAACGGTCTGTTGACTACAATATATAAAAAATTTGTATAACTCAACCACAAGAACAACCAAATTATAAATGGAGAAAGAGTTGAACACACACTTTGCCAAAAAGACATGCAAATGAAAACCAAGCACATGAAAAGATGATCAATATCATTATCATTATGGCCATCCAAACTGAAACCACAACCAAATACTCTTTCACACACACTAGAAAGGCTACAATCCAACAAATGTAAAGTAACAAGTGTTGGCAAGGTTGGAGAGAAATCACAACCATTAAATACTATATGTGGAATATAAAATGGTGGAGTCTATTTGTAACATAGTTTGGTATTTTCTCACAAAGTTAAAAACATGATGGGCATGGTGGCTCATGCCTGTAATCCCAGCACTTTGGGAGGCTGAAGCAGGCAGATCACTTGAGTGCAGGAGTTCAAGACCAGCAGAAGGACATAGCAAAACCCTGTCTCTACTAAAAATACAAAAATTAGCCAGGCAAGGTGCCACACACCTGTAGTCCCAGCTACTAGGGAGGCTGAGGCGAGAGGACCACTTGAGCCCAGAATGTGGAGGTTGCAGTAAGCCAATATGGCACCACTACTCCAGCCTGGGCAACAGTGCAAGACCCTGTCTCAAAAATAAAATAAAATAAAATAAATAAATA